AAGTAAAAAGGGATGGCACAATCATTTTGATAAATCTGTTACCTATTTTGTCTGGTCCACTGGCTTTGGAAATATCGACTGATAATAGGATGGCTCTTACTTCTTGCGTAGTCAATCCAATAGACTCAAGTGAAGTCTCTACATTCAAGTGTAGGAGTCACCTTATCGGGATAATCAACTTGTGCATGGTTAGCAAAATATTCATTAAATATACATTTTTGTATTTGCTTCATCTTTACTATCATTGATCAGATTATCGTTATGAACATTCGAAGGAAGTTTCTTATAATCTCCATTTTTGGATTTTATACTTGTTCACTAAAGCCCACCAAAATTTAGAATTACACCCCTGATTGATCTTATCATCTAAATCAGAAATATATTTCAATTTGGCTGCTCTCTCAGCTGCTGTTACTTTGTTCCGTAGAAGCCTAAACGTTTGCCAATCTATATAATAATTTCGAGTCTTTGCTTTTTATGCTGTCTATTTCTTTTCCTGATAAGTATTTTGGTAGCACTATTCATCCATGGATTGTCCCGAGGTCTTATAGTTACCACATTGTTTGGGACATAAATATCACATATATTTCTCAAGACATCAACAAATTCATGTGTTAGAATATCAATATCATTACATCTAAAGATGGTATCCCAGTCAACGTTGTTGAGGCCTCGATTCATTCCCTCAGTATTAGCTAAATCATAGTAAAACACGTTCCTTTTAAATTTTAAAGGAGTTGAATCAGAGCCCCCAACAGAGACAAAAACTGGACAATGATCACTGCAAAATGGATCAAGCACACCCGAGGTGCAAATACAATTAGGGTTTGACACAAAGATTAAATCAATTAACGTACTATTCGTTTGGGTGGTCCTTGTTGGTTCTGTGATAAGTTGCTGTAAATCATATGTATCAAGAAGATTGTCAATTATGTTATTAGTCTGGTTATGTATATTGATGTTAAAGTCACCAGCAATAATAGTATCTATGCCCATGTCAATGCCATTACCAATTGATTGGAGGACAAGTTCCCCAAAACGATCACTTTTATCAGCTCTGTAAAAATTCCCAATAAAATAGCCCTTGTTTTTACACATAACTTTAACCCAGATCGCCTCTAACCTTAAGGGAGACAACTTATCAGCATGTGCAACATGCAGGTTCTCTCTCACATAGATAGCAACACCTCTACCTGTTGATGGTCTATCCTTCCTAAAATGGGCGTGGTAACCGGGGATAAGAATATTATTGTTATCAATTGTGACATTCAACCATGTTTCTGTTAAACATATAACATCATAGTCACTTAAGTCTGCCTGGATTAAAGCAACATTTTCTCTTAAGCTACGCACATTAAGATGAACTATTTTTAAATCAGGATATGCAAGTGGGCCTGGGTTTGGGTGCACATCACCACAGCATAGTAGAATAAATAACATATTCAGCTGCACTTGTGCATTGTATAAACATAAAGTCATAATGGCATATGAATTTGTTTTAAATTTTGCATAGGAATTTAACTGTGAAATCATTTTAAAAAAAACAATTGCCTGTCGATATGTCGAGATATCAACCGGCATCGTCAAATATGAATATAAACAGATCAGTTTGAGGACAGACGGGGTTATTTGTCAAGGGATGTGAAATACGCTCAGGTAACTGCTTCCATTTCATCAAGATAACAAGTTTTACCTTTACAAACTCAATATGTGTATATTCAAAAGACAGAAAACAAATATACAACACAAATTCAACATAAAATAGTTTTCATAGTCATAGTGGAAAATGTTAATATACTGTTTAGGGGCTTGAAATACTTGGGGTTGAACTAGAGAATTTTTATACAGTGGATAAGAAAAGAAAGGAGAGAAGAGAAACAATATGCAATAAATAGGGAAGTGTATACTAGTAAAGCTGACGATGCAATAAACTGTCAAGTAGTAGAACCAGTCTGAACTGGTTAAGGTTTTAAGTCAAGATTGCAAACTCAAATTTTCAAGGCTTATAAGAGCGAAAATAGAAAAGCAACGTAACTGTTGCCATAATGATGCCTAGCTCACATAACAGAAGGCACAAGATAAGCGGACATTCCGTGCTAACAAAAGCCCAGACAGATCAGGGTTGTAAAGATGTAACGGCAAGAGTCGTAAAAATTCCCACTGTATATGGTTTGAGCAGGGATTTTTCGGATAACATGTTACATCAATGGTAAGTAATTTCATTATTGTCAAAGTCATTTTCTTTTATAAATGATATAAAGGATATGCTAGTAGTTGGCTTACTATTTTTATGTGTCTATCAGTGAAAACAGGACCGTAAACACAGCTGCTTATTGAAACAATACTGGTCAGTTCAATCAAGAGTACAAAATATACAAATCACAAACGGAATCCCCCCAATGCTCAAACTGTCTGTGTAAATTCTCTGATGGAGCACTATTCAAAACTGTCCTCCGTAATAGAAATACCATTAGTATATACAGTAATTTGTCCAGCTAAAGGACATGCGATCCACACATGAACACATACATGTATGTTCACTGAAAATATATTGTCAATCGGCCTCAACGCTACATGTTTTAAAGCATCGTAATACATAGAGATATCATGCTCACTTTACATGGAGCACGAGATGCACGGACTTTCCGTGCTAGCACAAACCATTACGGATCAGTGTTATAAACATGTATCGGCAGGAGTCGTAAGAATTCCCACTGGATTTGTCTTGAGCAGGCGTTTTTTACGGATAACAGTGAAAACATGATCGTAAGCACAACTGCTCCATGAGATGATGCAGGCCAATCCAATCAAGAATACAAAATACACAAGTATCACAAACGGAATCTAACAGGTGCGATTACAGAATGGAATGTCTTTCCAATGCTCAAAGTGTCTGTGGAAGTTCTCTGAAGGGGCAATATTAAAACCATTCCTCCGTTATAGAAATAATAATATAATAGTTATTACAATTTGCAGTTTGTTACAATTTACGGCACCTGCCTCTAAGTTCGACTGATCGAAATAACCCAAAATATTTCCGTGTTTTTCTTTTTTTAACACGCCAGTTGTGGGATGTGGCCATAATGAAGTCGAACAAACACTGGAATTCGATTTTATTTGGAAATTAGAAGGAATCACAGATGTTGTTACAATTTACCGCACATTTTATTACAATTTGCCGCAGTTTATAACAATTTACCGCACCTGTTATTACATTTTGCCGCAGTTTGTTGCAATTTACGACACCTACCTCTCAGTTCGAATGATACAAATAGCCCAAAATTTTTCGTTTTGTTTTTAACAAGCCAGTGGTAGAATGTGACCATGATGAAGTCAAATTCGATTTTATTTGGAAATTAGAAGGAATCAGAAACGTTATTACAATTTACCGCACCTGTTATTACAATTTACCGTAGTTTGTTACAACTTACAGCATCTGACTCTCAGTTCGAATGATATGAATAGCCCAAAATATTGCCGTCTTTTCATTCTTTTAACACCTTAGTGGTGGAATGTGACCATGATGAAGTCGAACAAACACTGGAATACGACTTTCTTTGGAAAGGAATCTCAGTTCAAATGATAGAAATAATCCAAAATATTGCCGTTTTTTTCATTCTTTTAACACGCCTGTGGTGGAATGTGACCAAGATGAAGTCGAATTCGACTTTCTTTGGAAATTAGAATGAATGGGAGATGTTATTACAATTTACCGCACCTGTTATTACAGTTTGCAGCAGTTTGTTACAATTTGCCGCATTTTCCTACAATTTTTAATTAATGCCGATGTTTTGAAAGTCCGGGTTTTGATTTTTATAAAGGTGGAATTCGACTTTCTTTGGAAATTAGAAGGAGTCAGAGATGCCGATGTTTCCAAAGTGCTGGCTGTTTTCTTTAGAAAGCTTAGTCTCACATTTTAGCTTCATGAATGTTTCCTTGCATAATGGGCAATGAAATGTATTTTATTACAATTTGCGGCTGTTTGTATTTCAATTTACGGCGGTATGACAATTTACCGCAGTGTTATTACAATTTGCCGCATTTTATTACATTTTCCCGCGTTATTACAATTTACGTCGTAACATGCCTTTCCTCACGATAAGGGGCAATGGTTAAAGCGTTGGCTCGTCACGCCGAATCACCACATGGGTACAATGTGTGAAGCCCGTTTCTGGTGTCCCCCGCCGTGATGTTTCTTGAATATTGCTAAAAGTGGCGTAAAACCAAACTCAGTCAGTCAGTTCCTCACGATAACGACGACATTGTACCACCTCTGGAGCGAACTGTCCACACATAGTACATACAGAATGAACTGATTGTAACTACATGAGCAATCTTTTTATCTTTCTTCAATACAGTATGTTTGGGATTCAGTGTATCGATATTTGACTTGGAAATACTCCTGACAGTAATGATTAACAAGTTGGAATCTGGAATGACATTCCACCGACCTACATATAGGTCTCAATCCACAGTTTGGTCTCTTCCCTGTGACAAATGAATTGTATTTAAACTTGTGCATAAGCGCTTCTGACATGTTAACCATAATGTGTCACCCAATCCCGCGTGTCGGTACTGAACAACATTACTTGTTTCAGTGCTATTATGACTATAGTCGTAACGTTGACGTCACTTTTATACATTTGAATTAGTCATAGTCCCAACAACCAACATGAAAGTGTCCTTTGTGGTTATGTACATACATAAAGATAAATGGTCTTCTATGAATGTCTAATTTATTGACCCCAGATATAGTATCATCTTTAAGACCCACAGTGACACAATCATCCCCACTGGACAGCATGTAAATAGTTTACTGGGCTGGATCGGTTTCATGAAACTATTGTTACTACTGTAACAATCAAAGAGTCACGAAGAGAATCGTAACCAAACGATCTCAATGTAAAATGTGCTTGTTGGTTGCCTGGGACGTCATCTCTGTTTTGGTAAACAGGGTAGTGTGCTCACAAACAAGAAATCATGTTTCGTATTGGTTGCAGATCCATCTCAAGCTACAGTTTTAAACAACCCAGCAAGAAAGGTTCCTGCATCAAACTTTTCCCTGACCTTCAATAAAAGTGATGGCGAGGCAAGCTGTTATATCATCACAGTCAAGAACCAAACTATGATTGTTTTCAACACGACTGTCCATGACAATACTACTGAAACCATCAAAACACAAATAGAAGACCTTGAGCCTGGCAAGCCCTACACTATATCGATAGTTACAGTGTCAGGGGGTCGCCACAGCAACGCATTAACATTCCCATTTACAACAAAGGATGAACGTAAGTATGAAGTATCGATAATGTAAATTAGTGGACGTACATCCTTAGATGATGTATTAGATTGACTTCTATCGCCGATATCCATTTAAAACATGCTTATATACAGATAACAATCACCATTAAATTTGTTTATTGCAGAGGCGGGGGTTATAACCCGGTTCAACATGACAAATGTAACAAATACCAGTATATCTCTGTCGTGGTCACCACCAAGTGAAACCAGAGGAAGTATAATTGGATACAGTTTGAACGTCAGCAGTGGACCAAATGATCAGGACTTCCAACTACTTCTAATTTGTAGTACTTGCAGTTATATACAAGAAACGGTAAGAATCACATTCAGATCTCGTGAAATGTATTATGTAATAAGAAACACATAATAAATGTTAAATATATGTTTACTTTTTCTTTTGCAATTTCAGCAAACATTGGTTACGATGAATGATTTGGTCCCTCTCTGTTATCTTTTCTGTGAAACAGATAAGCCAATTCATTAACATCCTCATGTATTGAGACCCGTGAAGGTCCGGGTTAGAATATTGATCTTCAGTCACCCATGCTTGTCGTAAGAGGCGACTAACGGGATCAGGTGGTCAGGCTCGCTGGCTTGGTTAACACATGTCATCGGTTCCCATTTGCGCAGATCGATGCTCATGCTATTGATCACTGGTCCCGACTCGATTATTTACAGACCGCCGCCATATAGCTGAAATATTGCTGAGTTTAGCGTAAAACTAAACTCACTCACTCACTCACCTCATGTATTTATATGTTGCTCAAATGAAATTTTGTAATTCTTATTTATGTTGAAAATTTGGATCATTGCAATAAGTTCAGCTGCACCTAATGATGGTATTATTTCAAGCTAAAGTTGGAAGCTGACGTTGGAATGAACATATCTCTGAACACAAACAAAGATGTCCAATACACCATACAGAACCTACTGCCATTTGAGAATTATACACTAACTGTGAATGCCTACAATGAAGCAGGGCAAGGTGAATCGTATCTCAACAGGACAAGAACCTGTATTGGTGGTAAGTTAATTCACAAATAGAAAGCTGGGATGAGAGATTTTGTGATATTGAACATTTATTGTGGGATAGATCTCCTTGAAATGAGGGAATTATATTTGTCTCACAGCATCAGGGGAGATTGTATCTGTATCTTAATGAAATCAAAGTGTATCTGTATCTTAATGAAATCAAAGTGGAAGGTTAGCACACAGGACGTTCTCAGCACAGATTCCCTGGCTTAATGCCAAGAGTCAAAACCACGAATACTTATGTCGTGCTCGTCCTATACGTTTGTGGTGCTTGGAGGACAAAAGAAAATTCTTAGCACTGAGACCCTCACACGAAGAAACCTGCCAGGTAATAGATGTCAGGTAACAGATATACGAACCAAACAAATTCGTGTGCTGGGACTAGCTATCAAGAGCACAACCCCGACAGCCTGAGTAGTACTTAGAATTGACATGTTTGGGAGTCCATGTATTCTCCAAAACGATCTGGGTGGTTCCGACTAGACAGCGCATCCAAGGAGAAGTCCTATAAGCTGTCTTGGCTACGTGTAAAGGAAACTAGGGCCCTAAGCTGACGCTGATCCTTATACGTCATTCATTTATCTTACTTATTGTAAATAAAAGTATTTAACCACCGAAGTCCGATGTATCAGACGTGAGCGATTCAGACTTTAACAGGAGGGTTTTATCTCACTTGTCGCCACAGAAACGTAACACCACCCGGGCAAAAATCCGTCCTGCTGGCGGGAAACGTTGAGAACATTTCTATACATTAAACTCAGACATAAGTGAATCGCTTTACTTTTAAAACTACTAAGTAAAATGTTTTCAAAGAAACATGTGACAACCGGGTTGATGGGCTGATCTCAGCATGGGTATTAGTGGGAACACTGGCCAGACAACTGCTTCCTTGTCAGATAATCAAAATTCCCCCAATTGTTTTCAACACGAAATATGTCTGGGTTTCACGAAATAAATTCGTTTAGAGTGTTGTCCCTTTGCAAAACCACGTTACCGCGGGCAAACTGTCAAAACGTTTTTTATTTTCTTCAAATGATGATCGTAGACTAAACGTGTAGAATATCGTCTGTCAACAAAACAATCTGCTCGTCAATCTGAGAGCGATTGTTTACATTGTTGTCATGCCCGCGGTCACATGTCATAGGGGGCAGATAACTCTAAATGGCAAAATCTGTAAAATGGCTTATTGGTTTTACTTTATTATATCCACTACACTACATCCCCCAAACTGGCGACATTTGTCATCACTGAAACGTTCTCTTGGGCGCCTATAGATCCTCATCATCAGCTTCACCTCGGGAACTCCGCTTCACAAAACTCAATCTGAAACAAATATAAACCAAACTGAATAATGATAACGGAAATATCGAACTTGTATTAACATGACATAGCCTCAAAATGGAGCAGACGACCGGGCGAAAATTCGGCAAATTGCATATATTTTCTAGCGCCGGAACACATATTTTTAGGAAGTGCCCAAACTGTAATTAAATGGTTAGTTGCCCTATATTAGTATAATGTAACTAATACCATGATTATAATGAGATTGTGACCTATAAATTCTCCTGCGGATTGTTCTGTAAGCAGTCTTAAATATGAACATAGGTGTGTTCCATCTGTTCTCGTATATGCCTGGTTCAGTTGGGTAAATCACTGGAAGAGAATTGACTATTTGACCATTTTGATGTGCTTTCTGATAATGATTGTCAAGGACTACACCATATTACAATACCGGTATCAAAGCTCCTCATGCTTATGGCTGCATGTCGCTGCGGCTACCAATCGTTGTGTACCAGAACGCTTTCATCTCTCCTTGTTAGATGATTTTCAGATATTAACACACACACACACACACACACACACACACACACACACACACACACACACACACACACACACACACACACACACACACACACACACACACACACACACACACACACCAAAAAGAACATAAAAAGAAGGCAAAACAAAACAAAAACACCCCCAACCCCCCAAATAAAACAATGCAGAAAAATACTCGTGACATGTGCATATAAGCCGTGTGTTGCAATTAAATAAACATGTTTTGGAGCATTACTTGGAGCATTTTACAAAACGAATCCTATGTACATTGTAAACATGATGTAAAATGTGAAAAGTAATCGTGATCTACAGTAATAATGGTCAGTTTGTTTTGAATTAGTTGAACCATTTATCTTATTTAGCATAATATATATTTGCTAAAGTCTTATTACGCGTTCCAAATGTGACGCCTGGTATGCCATGTTCCCCCAAAAAATAAGAGATTTGAAATCTGCACTTAGGTTCCCTCCTCTCTTTCAGAAAACAGTTGAATTCTCTCTTAATCAAATCGTTGCAGAATAGAAAAAATCACTGAATGAAGTTTAAATAAAGTGGCTAGTGGTCTCCGATTGTCTTTGGCCAATGTTTGTCTTTAAGAAAGTAAAACGACACTTGGTAGAAACATTTCACTGTTAAAAGTAAAAAAAGATATACTGCCATAAAGCCTCATCTCCTTTCATGATGACGTGACGCGTGATCAGGTCCAAATAGGCAACGTATTCTGCAGCAACCTATTTAATGGGATAAATAGTTTAACAGTGTACAGTGTAACAGTGGCATCTGACAGAGATTTGCATTAGTCGTTGAACGAAGAATGACCATATATTTGATAATTGGCCAAAGTGACCGCCTGTTTACCACGTATCACGTCATTTACAATGAAATGTAAACCTCTGTGAAGTTCATCTCCACTTTGGCTACGGTTTGTTTGTCCACAGTTGTTGTGCGCAAGTAGTTGCCTTTGGTTGACCAAATCGACATAATTCTGTCATCAACGTTACATAATCTACTAGGTACTGACTGCGAAACGTTAAGATCTTTTCCAACTTCCAAAATGCAAATTGCACGTAGTCGTTGAATTGAGTTTACAAGAATATCGTAATTCTCAGTCTGGGTTTTTTTATCAATGAAGTGTACAACGAAACACGACCTCGTTTTGCTTCGAATTTTACCCCAACCATGTTCACATGCACATGAGTAAGACGCTTGCACGAAATTGGCATGAATGCGCGCAATTCATAACACCTGCTGAATGGAATAATCATTTGTTAAATATAAGCTTGGTTTCCAAATAATATTACCACAAAACAGAACATCGCCTACTATTTTAATAGATTACATGAATATGTGTTCTTCTGTATTTTAGCTACGTTTTGTTTCCCAAGCTTAAAGAGCTACTCAATTTTGTTCCTGTAGTTCCGTCACCGCCAGAGAAGCTAGAGGTCTTTAATATCAGCTCGTCCAGTGTGACCCTGGTCTGGCAGCATGCTGACCACCAGGACGGACCGACCACCTACTACATTACAGTTGGGGAAGCATCTCACTCAACCTCAGAGAGCTTCGAAGAGAAAATGGCTGTCAATGTCAGCGGTATGTATTTTAAGTTTAATGAAGACGTATTTGTATATAATATACTGAACACAAGGACGGATCGACTATGTACTACATTGCAGTTTGGGAAGCAGCCAGCTTAATGTCAGATTCTTTCGAAGAGAAAACGATTGTCAGTACCAGTGGTACGTCTGTTTTGTTTTATGATCAAATGATAAGAGTTGTTGATGTACAAAATGATTTATATGATTTCTCCAGGTAACACTATTACGCAACTGCAGCATGTGGAACAATGATCATGATTGAAGTCTACAATAATATTATGATCAACTGTAACTTTGTTGACCACTGCGATCACATAAACCGGTTTTCCGTTGATGATGAGTTTCTAAAACCTGACAAACATAGATCAATGGTAAACAGGGTACTGCACTTGTTTATTTGTCGTTGAAACTACATTCAATATGAAGGTTATATTTATACAGGGATGTTAGGTTAATGCAACAGGAAAACACTCGCTTGATCAATTTCAATTTCACTTTGTACGTAGGAAATGAAATGCACACAGAAGTATTTCCCTGCCCAGTGGATTTATGTTTATTCGTATTTATTCGTGTTTATCGCTGTTCTTATTAGTCTAGAACTTTATGCGCATTTACTTGACTGTTTTGAGTGAAGATTGCCATAACACTACGGAACCCTGTTATTCCCACGTATAAATTAAATAAACGTACTACTAAAGCTGATAATTCTATCTATTTTTTGATTATTATCACCGCGTAGAATAATATCCGGACATTGTAACATGGGGTTACTGTGTCAATACTAATAGCATATGCTTAACAATACCGCTTCTAAATATGGATCAGTGTCATCTATCGCTTTGCAAAATTGGCATATTCAATTGCAAGAATCATTGATCTGCAAAAGTGCCGAAAGGAAAATGCTATCTGCATCAGTCCACACAACGCGAGCATGTAAGAACAAACTTTACGTTCACAATCCACCCTTGCACAAAACATTAATCCTTAACTTTCATAAACATTACATTCGTGACAAGACGCAAGGCCTCATGAAACGTGAAAAAAGGTATTTTGGCCATGAGGATGTTTCCAAATTTGAAACAAACGTTACAAAATGGATGTCTGCTGCAAATACATATTTTGACTTGTATCGTAATCGATATAGCGATTCATAAGCACATGCATGTGGTATGACTGAAATCGAACTATGTACTCTTCATTTAGCGGAGATTCCTAATGGTTAGGGAAATGTCTTTTTGTGGTTGATGTACATATTGGTGTTAGCGCCTCTGTTTATATTAACGTGTCTATTCTATATACAATAACATGATAAATATACACTGCGGTAAGATTGATATTCTATAAACACAATCTTGGAATGAGTTGGAAGATAATTTGTGTCGCGGGTTCAGGCCTTAGTCTTGCCATGCAGACAAAATAACGGACGGAGATCCTCGTTGGTGTAAAACATCTCGTTTATTGCCTGTGAATTATACAACTTTAGTAAGATGTTGTGTCAGCCATGCATGTGTGATGGCTGACGGATGACAATTGAATGTCAATCAATCAGGCATATTAATTATTCAATTGATAATCAAATAGCACAGTGGCATACGTTATAATTATGATAACAATTGAATAATGTTGATTGTTTACATGATGACGTCACATACAGGTGATGCATCGTATTATTGCTAAAAATATATACAGTTGGTGTTGATAATGAAAGGTTTATAAAATATAATATAATTATACTTTCACACACTGTCTTACGTGCTAGTGCTTAAGTTAGTAAATGATACGCGATAGATATATTTACTTTATGCGCGATCGGTAACAATATGTTTACTAATTTAAGGTACTTAACTGATAATAATTAGATATTTAGCACTATGAAATAGAGAAAGGATATAGAGAGGGTGCTTACCTGTGATTTATACAACATTAGTAAGATGTTGTGTCAGCCATGCATGTGTGATGGCTGACGGATGACAATTGAATGTGAATTCAAATTGTCACACGTCACAGGTGTAGAAGCCCGTGCTTTTGGTGGTGAGCCAAATACGGATAGCACGTACAACTCGATATATCAGACAGTGGAGAAGCAGCCTTCTGATGAAAAGATGTTTAAGTGTCACAATGACTTTTGCCTTTGAGTATATAATATTCGTATATCTACTTTTGTTCATATTAGTCATGAAAAAAGTGTGCAGCCAAAAATCAAAAGTAACAAGCATACTTGGGTTTGCCGCACCTGGTAATCGATAAAAGCGTGCGGGGTAGGACTGACAACATATTTGCCTTCTTTATTGTCATACCTTATTACACTTCAGGGTTCCATAACACATCCGTCCTGATTGAGGGACTCTGGAGTTGCTGGAATTACACCTTTAAGATCACAGCAGCTACTCCAGTTGGAAACTCAAGTGCTCAGTCTCTAAATGGAACTGTCCGGACTAAAGAGTCAGGTATAAAATGACTTTATTAACCTCTTTGTTCTGCTTTTAGTCCTCGCTGTTTCACATCATATACTCATTTAAAGAAGTATAGGAACACCCTTTACATTGTATACTTCGTCTTTAATGTAAATTGTAACCATAAATGAAGCACCAAAACAACGTCTAGATCTGAAAATTCAGATTCAATTAAGTGTACATGTTTCTGCAATATACAAAGCTGGCACATATATGCTATTGCATATCATTGTCTGCTACAACGAAATGATAGTGGGTCTGCGGGACTCGTAGCTTTTCTTTTAACTTAAATCTCAAAAGGCCAACTAGCTTAGAGGCAGGTAGTGAAACACGTGACAAATACCACTACAACTCAAACTACCTCAGAATACTCTGAACAATAGGTAGTGCAAAACGTGACAACTATTAGGCCAGTCGTGCATTAACTACTTGTATAATATATATACAAGTGGAAAAAGTATCGCAACACCTAAGATTGTTAATCCCAATGTGTAGTCATATCATAATTATGATTGTCTGTATGGTTATTTTGATTGACTTTAAGCATGCGCGCCATCTTTGGACTTTAACCAGGTACTTTCAAGCTATTTCAATATGTGTTTTCTTTAGTTCCATCACAGCCAAAGGAGTTCTGGGCCTTTGTGAACAGGTCGTCGGATGTGACTCTGTTCTGGGTACCCGCTGAACATCAGGACGGACCGACAACCTACTACATTAGAGTTATGGAAGAGACCAGCCTGAACTCAGGAACCTTCGCAGAGACAGAGTTCATTAGTGTCAAGGGTATGTCTTTTTATGTGCATAGTTTCTTCTTATCGTGAAATGAAATTATGTCTTGGTAATATATGAAGATTTATACCTGTTTTACTGGTACTCATACATATTCTTTGTTAGCTTGTTACTTTGGTGAAATAGCTATAAACGCGTGTGCGTAAAAATGAATACTAAAGTGCTCTTAACATTATTTAAAGCACATCTGATAATTGTATTTGGGATTGGTACACATGAGAGTAAGACTGTTTTACATAAGACTTGCTCAGTCTGTACTAAACTATGTGTATCATAATACTTTGCAATATAGTAACAAACTGAGACTTACTTGTTCTGAATGATGATAATGAAGTGTTAATCAACGATGTAAGATATCTGTGAACTCTCGAATGTAAAGAAAATATGCCAAAGCCGGATGCTACACTTGTGTGCGATATATCCATTTCTCATTTTTCTTCAGGATTTCATAATACATCCGTCTTGATTGAGGGTCTCCGGAGTTACTGGATGTACAACTTCAGCATTACCGCGGCTACTTCATGTGGAAACTCAAGTGTCTTGTCTGTGAACGCATCAGTCCAGACAAAAGAGTCAGGTACAAAATGCTATCGGTATATTTTCTATTGTACTTTTCAAGTTAGCTCATGAGGACTGAAAGTGCAAGTGGAATGTGGCGCTGTCTTGCATTTGGCTGTCTCCAACCGTATATGCAAACAGACCTACAGAATTACAATACACTAACGTGTGATACTTTAGCCTTCAATACCAATTTGAGAAGTACGTTGAATATTTGTACATGTGGTGGAGCGTGGTCCGTGGTGGCGCGTGGTCCTGTGCTCAAAGCTCAGGTCACAAATCGGTGCAGTTAAGCAGCGTCAAGCTCGGAGAGTCCTTGGATGGGTGACCGTGTTTGGCAGCTTGACTCCTGAGAGTTTCTAGGACTCGAGTCCTGCCCCACAACGAAGCACATGTGACACATGTGGTCTCACCTTAGGCAAGTGAGTTTGTTCAAAATTGTCTCTGTTCACCCAGCAGGAAAATGGGTACCAGGTGGAAAAAGTCATATGACTATAACCTTCTAGCGCCTAACAGGCAGCTTGGGTTATCCGGGGTAATATATGAGCATACCTAGTGTTGAGTTTGGCGCTATATAAATGAACACATTATTATTACATAGAGAATACGTCAAATAGCGTTTATTATATGTCGCATGTAATACAGAAAAAAGAGAGAATAAACACTCCTCCAAGTTACTCCTCCAAACACGACGAAAATGGTGAACAGTTCATTTTCAGTTCATCATGTGTGGCAAACTTCTCAAATTCCCCAAAATACCCCTCACTCACACAGTCTCTCACCCAATTTCTGAAGTTGGGACCTTATACAAGTCCACGAGCAGACATCCTTCAGTCTGCTCCATTTGACATCAATACAAAGTATATGATTCGTTTTCGTGAATCTTCTCAATTTCATGAGAACAAGATTAATATATAAACTCTGTCAAAAAAGAAACGCAACCCCTGTCCTCAGATATGAAAAATTCGTTTGAATGAAGTTATTGCTTCCAAACTAAATTTTATTCGAATGTATTGAAATGATACACGTAATTAATGAAGATTACCATCCAAACAACTGCATTTGTACGCATAAGTGTATTTTATTGCTTATTCCGTCACAACGCATGAAATGACCCTCATGGTGACTTCGCACAAAAAAAACACATGCAAATCATGAAAATGGCAGTTAATGTAGGGGTGTATAAAAGCCCATGTGGTTCCGTATTATATTCATTCATTTGTCGCCGAAAAGCTGTGTTAAAAATGCCACGATTGAGTGCTGCCGACCGAAATATCGCCATTGGTCGTGTTCAAGCCGGAGAAAGTTTTGGAACTGTTGCACGGCACCTAAATGTTCACAAAACAACGATATCCCGACTTTGGAGCCGCTACAACAACTTCAATTTGACCAACGATCGCCCGAGAAGTGGAAGGCCAAGAATCACGACCCCCCTTCAAGATCGGTACATCCGGGTCCATCACCTGCGTAATCGGCATGCCCTACCAACCGTGAGTGCCACACAAATACCAGGTTTGAGGAGAGTGTCAGCTCAAACGATTAGGAACCGTCTGAAAGAAGCGGGTTTACGTGCCTGTAGACCAGTTGTTGGACCTGTACTACGCCCCTACATCGACGCCGACGACTCAGGTGGTGCAACAACGTAAGGATACGGACTTTACAAAACTGGAGGCGAATCTGGTTTTCTGATGAATCACGTTTTCTTTTGCAACGTCACGACGGAAGACAGCGTCTGTATAGGAGACGTCATAAACGTTTTGCGCCCATCTGCGTCCGACAGGTGGACAGATTTGGCGGAGAAAGCGTCATGGTTTGGGGACCATCTCATACAACCAGAAATCAGACTTGGTGATCGTTCCAGGGAACCTGACAGCCCAACGTTACATCAACCACGTGTTAGAGCTTCACCTTCTCCCGATTATTGACCAACAGACACAGATTTTTCAACGGGACAACGCCCGGCCTCATACTGCACGTGCAACAATGAACTTTCTGCAGAATTCCAACGTCAATGTCTTGCCATGACCCTCTAAATCACCAGACCTCAACCCTATTGAACACCTGTGGGATACTCTGGATCGACGCGTACGTCAACGTCAGCCGCCGCCACAGACGCTGCAACAGCTCGCCGTTGCACTGCAGGAGGAGTGGAGAGCCATTCCCCAGGAAAGAATCCGGCGTCTTATCCGTTCTTGTCCAAGGAGATGCCGTGCAGTGATTGCAGCGCGTGGTGCTCATACGAGATACTGAGAAAGACGCCCCCCCTGGTGACAAACTGGTGTCTGTGAGATGACTTTTGAAATGACAATTTTTAACATGCCCATCTGGGTTATTATTCTGCCAAATGTCAGACTTCTGTCTTAAATAATAAAAATGCCGTGTCGTCCTAAAACTTCACATCAAAATCTCTAAAATACAGGGGTTGCGTTTCTTTTTTTGACAGAGTTTATATTAAATATATTGCTCGTTAAATTTATGCCTTAGATTAAATTGTTCAATAAAATGTGCGAAATTTATGAAATGAGTTTAATAAAAGACAATGTCAAGGGAAATCTAAGCCGGTGAATTGTAGCTATTGGTGGACCAAGGGTATCTTAACAACCCTTCGTTGTTGACCTGTGCGACACCCGCTCATCAGTTGCCCATATACTTTCAAACAACTGCACGCATTTTCGTAATAAATCATATTTTTCATGAATATACATTGGGATATACTGGAGCTGATACTTTGTCGCTTTCGGAGAAATAGCTTTGTGTGAATTTTGCAATGTTTTTTCACAGTAGTTATTTTATAATTACACTATTAAGATAACAATGATTACAGAACAATAAAGCAACTTCTTTTCGACAGGACCCATCCGGAATGTTTTCATATAATAAAGAACTTGTTTTTTAATCCATAGCTCCCGGATATGTAGAACATATTCACATACATCATGTTCAAGACAATTATACAAGTGCTGAAGTCTTCTTCTCCTGTCCCAATGAAACAGAAAGACATGGCATCATAAAATATTACATACTGTCGTATGAAGCTCAGGTATGTCTTCTTGAAGGCAAATTATACTTTCGCTTTCTATTCCCTTTTCTATTGCCAAAAACGTACTGATAACAAATAGTTACGTTCATTTTACTTGGGGTAAAATCTGCCTGCATAAAGCATAATACACTGCCTCGTGTCAGGCATAAAATTAATAATATCTACAGAAATATCTATGACCAAAATGTATCTTCAGTGTATGGGCTTTGTTCATACTAACCTTTGTGAGGAATAAGCTTGTTTGCTTTGTTTGTTTCTGACAAGAGAAATATGCATCCACCGTGTTAGAAAATCCCCAAGGAGTGAATATTTCAGCTCAACCTGAGTCCAACTGTAACTACTCACTGGTGGTACCCGTGACAGCTCAAGTAATCTACAACTTCTCGGTTAGTGAGATCAGACTGTGGGGACATTAACTGTGCAAACACATACGGTTTGAGTACACAGAAGATTCGATGTTAAATACTCTTTACGTGAATCTTTCGGTTACCTTTGTTATGATTATCTTCTAAAAATAATGTAACACACTGTATCTCACTTTGCTTCGTGATTCTCATATATAGAAATTCAGGTATATTCAGTTGTCACTTGCCTATCCTAAAAGCTGTACTTATCGTTCTTTACCATCACCACAAAATAAGAGAGAAACTTGACATGAATAAATTTCAGGTACAAGCATACAACAAGTATGAAGGCAAAAAATCAACCAAGAGTTATATCACACCGACAGGAGGTACGTGAAACGTTTTCGGGAGCACAATGTGGACATGTCATTATAACTGATCATCATATTTTGAGGGAATGGTCAACTAAATGTCTTAATGTTTTCACCGAAGTCCGCTTTGAACAGCGTGCCAGCATAATGTGAGGGGAAGCCCAAATGAAGATCCTGAATAGCAACATATCTATTCACTTCAAATTATCCAAAATAATCTCCAAACAAATTCAATTCAGGCCCTTTACATTTTATAGGTTACATGTTTAAATACAGCTTCCAAGGTGAATGTGGTTGCATCCATGTTTGACGACATTCACGTTGCTTCTATAATACATATAACTTCAGTTGTTGACTAATTTATACGAACGTCTTCATACTTAATATGGATTTATGAACCTTTGGTATTCCATGGATATCTGTACAATCTCTCCGTTCCTCCAAGTCGAATATTTTTGTAAATGGAGCATAGTAGCGTAGGCTGTATCCAAGTTGATTTACGATTTGAATGTTTGCTTTAATCCCCATTATCATGATGCCATGAGCCGCGGCCATGAAGATTCCTAAATCGTACAATTTGTAACAAGCCTGGTAAATATTAACTACTATTAACGGATTCAGTACCACACGAAAAATGAACCTGTTTCAGCACAGACTTTGAATGTGCGAAAAGATTGCCAGTACCTGCCTGATGTCTAGATATAGCCGTGATGTCTGGAAAGAAATACCTTCTCAGTATTTAACATTCTATTCTTGGGTCAGAGTCTTACATGTGCATAACTTGAATACGTTCGTTTTCCAAGTGTCCGGTCCCGTGGCTAGTTTTGATGCACCGAGTAAAACGGCACATTCAATAACAATACAATGGACCAAGCCATCACTTCCGAATGGCAACATCCTTGGCTATCGGGTGAACGTTACATCAGGCGGCAAATCTGGCCGAGTTATAAATGTAACTTGTGACCAGATTAAGGTAGGCATGAGAACAGTCATAAGATACTCTTAGTCAACAAAAAGCTTAAAATACCGCATATTATCATTAAAACTACAATTGAGTCTTTCACTGGACATATGAACTCTTTCACATTTGAGAGGAAGAAAGAATGTGAAGTTGGCGCCACTTCAAAAACGAATAGGGCCCCTATTGTCATCTAAAACGGAAGTCAGTTTGACAACGAAATTACAAAAACATTGTTCATGTGAATATATGTATTATTTGAAGTTCCAACAGAAACAAGAATGCAGAGCAGTTGAAACGTCGATTACAAAGAGTAATGCTGTTGTCAACGGAGATGGAAATGGCCAATACGACTACAATATCACAAACTTACTGTCCTACACTAACTACACGATAGTTGTATCTTGTGTCAACATAAATGGAACAGGGGAGGAAAGTATCATCACTGTTCAAACGAACATGACTGGTGAGTGTGATGATGTCAGTGGTATTTCAAGTATGGCTCTTAATTAAGGGTTACTGTAGTGATATTTGCAACATGACCAGCTATGGGACGTAAGGTTGAGTTGGTTGGTTGGGTTATTTTTTAACGCCGCACCCAGCAATATTACAGCTTTATGACGGCGCTCTGTAAATAATCGAGTCTGGACCAGACAACCCAGTGATCAACAGCATGAGCATCGATCTACGTAAATGGGAACCAAGTCAGCGACCCTGACCACCCGGTCGAGTCATTGTCCTCTTACGACAAGCATGGGTTGTTGAACACACATTCTGACCCGGAACATCACAGGTTCTGGAGAGCTCTGTGTAAAGACATCTGTACCATTCTATCAGCACGTTTAGTGGCCATCTTGATATGACAGAACCCGAAAGTTGATATCAACTCAGACACATTGTAAAGGCACCGAGGCGATCACTCCATTTGATAAGCGGAGCACCAGCTGGGGTAACAATACAAATCACCACTGAAGACCAATTCTAACCCATGTCCAGAAAGAGGAGGTTTTTATGATCTGGAGGGTTATCGTAAGTCATGATGGTGTTTGCGCCCTAAACGTATCACAAGAGTAGGAGAGCAGCAACGTATTGATTCATACATATTATTGTCACTGCCATTTGACTGCTATACATGTACAACATTATCAAAGTTCGCTGAATCGGTAAAAAAAGCAAACCGGTTCATCTTCTTTAAGAGACAAACGGTGGTATTCAGTGAAACTAAAGCGTAGTTGAGATCATGCCGTCGAATATATATCCATGAAATGTCTGGTATCGATCCTTAGGCCTATTGACCACGCTTTTCATCAGGAACTGCTAAAGGTGTCATCCTAATGTGTGTGTATATTTTTTCACAAGTACATACTCATTTAGAAGAGGCAGGTAATAAGAACCTTACAGATACTATTAAACATGGACTTTAGTTACTTGTATTCTTCACTAATTCCAAAAATGTATTACAATATACATAGATTTAGAATGATATGTGAAGAAATAACCCTCTGACCTGCATTTATTGCATTGTGAGGGGCCTAAGGTAACGTCTTGCAAACCACATAAATACATGATATATATCCAGTCTAAGAAGTCACAGTGGGTGAAATGGGTAATGTAAGGAAAAGAGATAATATTTTCCTTTTCAAATAAGATAAAGTCGGTGTTTTGTTTCTGTAGTTACGTCACCGCCAAGGAAGTTCTGGGCCTCAGTCAACAGCTCGTCCAGTGTGACCCTGTTCTGGACCCACGCTGACCACCAGGACGGACCGACCACCTACTACATTACAGTAGGGGAAGCAGCCAACTTAACCTCAGACATCTTCCAAGAGAATATGGTAGTCAGTGTCAGCGGTATGTCTTTTAATTTAAATGAATGAGTGAGTGAGTGAGTTTATTTTTACGCCGCACTCAGCAATATTCCAGCTATATGGCGGCGGTCTGTAAATAATCAAGTCTGGACCAGACAATCCAGTGATCAACAGCATGAGCATCGATCTGCGCAACTGGGAACCGACCACATGTGTCAACAAAGTCAGCGAGCCTGACCACCCGATCCCGTTAGTCGCCTCTTACGACAAGCATGGGTTACTGAAGGTTCATTCTAACCCGGATCTTCACGGGTATTAATTTAAATGAAGACATATTGGTATATAGAGTGACATTCCGTCAAGTAATATTGCAACATTAACTAAGCTTTCTACATTGATAAGGAACCGAGTTAACAGGGTACTGCACAAACTGTAATTGTAATTGATGGAAAAGGTAAGCATATATTACGGTACTCGATTGTTGACGGGTTAGTTTACTGGTTGATTACGGGTTACAATCCGAGTCATCTACGGATGTAAAATAACGACTAGGGCAGCTGCAGGACAGACTTCTGTCCTGATATGTTTCTCATTACACTCTGGAACTCGGTTGCCATATGCAAATTAAGTAGTAGTAGCAAGCCATCCACCGCTTAATTTTACCTCAAAGAATACAATACGGATAATGACATGGCACTGCTGCTTCAATAGTTACTACATTTGCCACTACAGTTGCCAAACTATCTGTATCGGTGTAAGTCGAGCATGTAACAACACACATGTTGCAGAGGTCTTAGATTCATGATGGATCGTGTTGTATTGGTGTGAACGTATAGCACATTAAATTACATTTGTGACGTCATTCAATTGTCTGCTCGCTACATTACTTTTCGGGAATGGAGCGATGTGTACCAGTTTTAAATTAAAGCCTTCATTTTGTCATTTTGACATTTAATTTTGATAACTAATATTCCCAATTCTTTGAATGCAATTTAAGTAGGGTAATACCCTCGTAATTCTCCATTCCTTAACAATAATGTGCCTCTGCTCCATTATTTTTAAGGAATAGAGAGTTACTTGGACATTACCCTCTACTTAATGTACATATTGTCTATTTACATGAGTCAATTAGCAGATTCCGTATTATGTTAACCATCGATGTCTTAACCATCCTTTTTGTGATCTGTGACAAAATATTGATACACCTACCAGTATATCCTGACAAACAACTTGTTTAAATATTCTTGATTTACTTCATTCACGTGAAGTATTGGAGTAGCATGTAGATACTACGTAGAGAGGTACCTTAGCATGTATTATAATTAACACTTACTGTTTTTTTTTATTTAATTACATGTTTTTCCTAAAATTTGATAAAACACACCTGTTATTTGATAACTACTTTTTGGGGAAGGAGAAACAACACATTTGTCTTCTTTATACTCCTACGTTATTATACTTCAGGATTTTATAGCACATCCGTCCTGGTTGAGGGTCTCCGGAGTTACTGGAAGTACACCTTCAACATCAGAGCAGCTACTCCACTCGGAAACTCAAGTGTCTTGTCTCTAAATGAAACTGTCCGGACTAAAGAGTCAAGTACACAATGCTATAATCATCCTCATTATTTCTCTTTTAACTTTCCGCCATGTAGCTGGAACATTGCTGAGTGCGGCGAATCTAAACTCCCTCCCTCTTTTGACTTTAGTTCACCAGAACCAAAAGTTCAAATGAAATGACCAGGTGAATTACCATTCGTTGTCTAGATTCGTTGATAGATGTACCAGCAACTTTCAATGGACATTGTTTTTGCGTTTTCATCATTCAAAACCCTTTTAGAGATCTCTTAGAGAACGATTTGAAGTATTTGTTAAAATAAGTACAGAAATCAACGATTTGACTTATTCATGTTTGTCTTAATTCTTCCAAAGCCTCCCCCCATAAAAGTGTCTCAATTGGCATCTACAAAAAGTGGAACTACCCAGTCGGGTGAGGTGAGGTGAAATTGGGTTTAACGTCGTGCTTGAGAATATTTTGCTCATATGATGACGTGCATGCGTGTGTATGTGCATGTGCGGCTGCTTGTACTAGCCCAGACTTAAGCTGGTTTTATAGTACTAGCCAACTAAGTTACCATGCCGCAGTGAAGCATGAATACCCCACTCAGACACATTATACTGACTCCAAGCCGACCAGTCCTTGTTGTACCCATTAATGCCGAGCGCCTGGCAGGGACCAACAAGTACCACATTTTAACGTCTTTTGGTATGACGCGGTCAGGGATCGAACCCGTGACCTTCCGCTCTCCGGGCGGACGCTCTAACCACTACACCGCGGAGGCGGTCATCTACCCAGTTGGACTAATGTTGTGAAACATTTTGCCGAATTACGTGATGCTAATAATCACGATGACTAAAAGACAATAGCTGGAACCCCTTATATATACAAAACTAAGTTGCTAGAAAATTCCATAATGTTTTCTGATACCGAGGAGTCTTCCACTACATTCTGGCACTGCGTAAATAGAGTAAATATATTAGTCAAAATATTCCTACATGTACAACGTATAAAAGGTGAAGCATTGTTGCACAACGTATTACACTGCCTCATAAGACTATTAATCACAGTTCTAACATCACGAACAGAGTAGGTTTTCCTGTAAATTAGTTGACAGGAGGTAACATTGTGCCGTACGGTATGATCAATAATTCCTCTCTAACGAACCCTCTCCCTGGCCCATCTCTCAAGTAGTACAAGTTCGGCTCGTCGGCTTTGATGTCCACTTTATCTATGTTGTAAGTTTTGACTGACCATATCGGATCGGTGGCTCGCTTACGACTATCACCCTCGTGTTCCCCCGGCTGGTATAGGTACCTCACTAGGGCCCTATCTGGTATCTGTTTCTCCTTCCCACGCAATGGTGCAGCCGACTCTGCCACTATTGATTTTAGTTTGATAGCGTCGGCTGGTTTCTTGCCAGTGAGCCGAGTGGCTTCATGGTTGATGGCCGACACCACCTGAGGTAGCCGCGCTACCCATTCAGTCGATCGTTTCCCCGGGTTGGCCATCTCTCTCGCATACTGATGTCCGAATAAGCGCTCAGCCAAAGTCCTATTGAATCTCTCAACTATGGCTTGGCTGCGATGGGCTCCGGCCGTGCCACGCCTGACCTTGGTATCGTGTTTGTCCAGCAGGTGTGACACGACACCCATGAACTCCCGCCCGGGGTCAACTTGCAGCTCTGTGGGCCACGTCAGCGGACTGCGTTTGTATATGCGTTCGAATCCGCGGGCTACCTGGGCCGAGTCTTTCGCGGTTAAGGGTTCGGCTTCCTTGTAGCGACTGGCCACGTCCACGACGGTTAAGGCATACTTGTACCTCTTATCGTGGGGTAGGAACAGGAGGTCGGCCTGGTGAACGCTATTGGGTATGTTAATACCGAACTTCCTTCTAGGCACGTAGCGTGGTGCCGGTAAATAGATCTGCCACAGGGCTTGTTTTTCAAGCCACGCTTTGGCCTCCTCCGGGGGGTACTCGCGCCATTTTAGCCAGCTTATGTACGGCGCTAGCTCCTTTCCAGTACCCACGCGGGCTGTAGTAAATAGCCTCAAACTTTCTCTGGTTCCGTGACATCGTCGCCCCAACAGGTTATACACCTATATACACCTATGTTCTTGGTTCAATTTTCTCATGCCCGTACGCGTACGTGTTTATCCCATCAATAGCTATCCAACGCTTAGTGTCCATCGGCGACAGGGACGTCTTGTTTATAGTCAGTCCGTATATCCTATGCCCATCACTTCTAAGCGTGTTCATTTTATGCCTAAAGGTACGGGTCTTGAACAGGGCTTCCTTGAATCTGGCGTGTTTGATGTGTTGTTTCACCACGTACTTCTTAACACCCTTCGCCTTCCGGATCTCACCATTGTCGGCCTTCAGGATGGAGTACATCTTAGGCCTCAAACCTATGTACTCAGCTATGGGCGTGCCAGCACACTCGTCCTTCATCTTACCTAGGACCTTTTTATTTACCGTGCTGTGTATGGCATGGTCCTTGGGGTAGTCGCTGGTGTCATACAAATCGAGGCGTTTTTTCATGTCCTCGTACACGTCCTCGGTTCGAATCTCCATCAGCAGGGAATCCGTGTCAGTGTACAGCACTTCACACCTGTCGTCGTACTGTTTCTTCAGTTCGTTGTAGTAAAAGTCGTACATCAGGTGTTTGGATAAATCGAGGATGCTCATCCCCACGTAAACAGGCCGGTTGAATTTTATGTGGCTTTTCTTCATGTGTAGGGCAACCAGGTCGTCGGTGAATATCTTGCTCCGGTTGAATGCCGGGCTGGCTATCAGTCTCCTGAGCTTGTCTTCCTCATTCGACCGAACCAGCTTCACGGTCACGCGTTTCCTCAGGTTCTCCATAGTCTTACCAAACACCGAGTTGTTCATGAGCTTGTAGAGGTTTTTCTCAAAGTCACTGGTGGCAAGCTTTCGGAGGTCTGTGTTCATTCTGATGTATGGCTCCATCCAGGGGCTCTGGTTGAACACGAGCACCCTGTGTATTTTGGTCAGCCTCATACCCAACGACAGGTACAGCTGTAGGTTGCGATAGTGAACGATGTACTTGGTCTTATTCATTAAGTTGGGCACGAGTTTTTCAACGTCTGCCACCCGCCCACCTAACAAGTTATGTTGGTACTCAGACATCCAGTCTGGGTTAACCCTCATACGTTCGGGGGCCAGGGGGTAGCTGTTGTGTGATGTGTGTAATGCCTTGGGGTATTCCAAGTCCACCTCGAGGATATAACCTTTGTTCGAATCGTCCGCGATGCTCATAACATCGACCTCGTGCGATGCCCATTCGAATCCCCCTGTGGGTAGATACTGGCTCATGGCCCAGCCGTACAGGTTGTTGGCGTCGAGGTAGAGAATATGATTGGTTGGCTTGCTCGGGTCGTAGCCCTTCACGTATTGATTATTTGCTTTCGCGTATCGTTTGGTTGCCATGGAAATCCCACCTCGCAAGCCTTTCTCAATGAATAGGTGCATGTCGTAATCGGTGAGCAATTCCAACTTAACTCCGGTCTTTTTCAACAATGCATCCCACGACAGACCTGGGCTGGTGTAATACCATGCGGGGTCGAGTTGATACTGCTTAAAACACGTCCGCCTAAACGTCTCAAACACGTCGGCTAGCAGCAGTACATCTGTCCTCAAGTACAGGTCGTGATAGTCACCCAGATTCTTACAGCCCAGTTTATTCCATACGTTAATCGCGTGCGAGTAATCGTCTTGGGATATTGTCGAGTCGGTCAGGTTGCTGTAAAATTCTCTGATGGGGGGTAGTCGGGTCTCGGCGAACTTGGCCCAGCCATCCATGTACTCGTAGGGGTACACACCCTTCCTCATCAGCAGGGGTCGAGTCTCGGCGTCGGTGTATCGATCGGTGATGGGGAAGGTATCGTTGGCCTTGACCAGACTGTCGAGTGACGACAGGAGGAACTGAACCGAGTCGATGAACCTCAGGCCATTTAAGCTGAAGGAGATGTATCTCTCCATGTTGTTGGGGATGCACGTCAGGTTGCCGTCGACTTTCGCGATGGCCTGCATGATCAAGTGAGAGTCGTACCCTCTCAAGTTGTGGAAGACCACGGGGATGTTTATTGTCTTGGGGGTGATTCTAAGCTTGAGGTTACACGCGCTGTGAGCGGCGCCTCTATACTTACCGGTGACGTGGCAGTGATCTCTCACCGAATCACCGTTCAGTGGTGAGTCACACACGTGGCAGTGAGTGCTGCAGGCGTGAGCTAGCCGGTCGGCTTGGGTCATACGCATGGGAGCGACTGTATACAGTGCATTCCTGATAGTTTTTTCTTCCTCCTGCAAACACTTTAGAAACTTTTCAGCCGCGTCGGGACCCCTATACACTACCGGAGCTTTCGTTTCCCCATCACATCGGACGACCACGTATCCAAACCCACAGGCCTCATGCTCCTGTGTTTTGTGTGTGGGTGGGGTACCCCCAACAGCCTCAACAGGTTTGACCAAGGCTTCAAAGTCGGCGTAGATGACATAAGGCACAGACATTTGGTTCTTGTGGTTGTCGAATTTTAGGATATTGTCACCTTCCTTGGGCATGTCGACTCGTATGGCCGTCTGCCCCACACCTTGGCAATCCCCCGGTGGGATTCTAATAAATCAGCTCGTGTGAAGCCGTGTAGGCATCGTTCGCAGAAGTGACTCTTTTCTCGGTGTGCCGATTGGTCGTACAACAGCCTGCTAAAGTGTTTTATCCACGCGTAGTGGTACTTATCACCTCGCTGGATCATGAATATATTGATAACGCGGCGACCCAGCTGTCCCCCCAACGGACTGACCCTGTGCACTATTGTTGTGTTACCTTCGTGCCCAAAGACGTTTATGGCTATATTATTCTGTTTTTCTATTTTAGTTATCTGGGATATGGGGGTGGGTTCATCTATACCATCCCAGTTGAGCCCATCGTCTTGGGGATAACTAGAAGGCCTGTTCGAATTAGTGTCAGCTGGAAACAAGGCTGACCTGATAGCTAACCTCAGGCAATCGTCTCCTCTATTCTT